ATCTTCTCACGGTCGTGGTGGGCGACTAAGCATGTCAATAACCGTCATTGACTATCTTTTGTCGCTTATCTAAGCTACTTGCCCGATCCATCCTAGCGTTTCCTTTCTGCTTTCGACGACAACGTACTTCGCTCCCATCTGATCATATTATTAAGGACGTGGCAACGTCATGTGATTCGAAAAAAATTTCTTTTCATTTGTATCTCAGTGGACGACAGCTGGCGCTCTTCAACTTTAGTGAATGGCCACGTCTCACAGCCTTGCAACATTGCCGACAGTACGATACAATTGAAAAAATGGGTGCGGGTTTATTTCTTTGCTAATGTTCTATATTAACATGAAAATTATTTTATTCAATATATTATTTTTAGGCCAGTGCAAACCTCAGCATTAATGACATGGTTATTCAGAAACTCACTCAGGTTCTGGCTTACCTTAGAACGGACAGCAAGCGAAAGAAAAAGGGTATTGATTTTATTACTCTCTATTTTTATTGTACTATTTGCTCGTCATCGTCTATCTTTGTTCGGCATTTGATCGTTCTATTTCACTAGCTAGATGTGCTTATTCAGAATTTTCTCAGTTTGTTGTTTAATTCTATTTCTACCTGCCCCCTACTTCTTATTCGCATTTATCATCGTGACTTGGAGCATGCAAAACCAAACTGTTTACTTATAGCAACTGAGAAATCTTTAGAATGTCAGTAGTTGTTTGAAACATCAGCTACAGTTGTTGATCATTAGCTGGGCATTTAGCGTTATGAATACTGAAATACGCAGACGAACTGGCGTAACTCAAGTGGAAGGCTACATCACCCTAGAAGACAGCTGTCTTTTTCGATACCTTAGAAACTAAGAACTTGCTGCTCTTAATTCCGTATAGCTGTCCACAGACATGTATCGCATTAAGTCATCATCCACATTATGATGACACCTTAATCATCTAGCGCAGAATTGGTTGCAGCACCTAGTGCACACATTGACACCCTTTGATTATGAACCTTCCGTCTGCTTTGTGCATATACGGTCTTCGCTCTCTAGGTGCTAATTTTTTTGTCTGGTGTAAACTTTACCACAGAAATTGTGTATATCTGAAAGGACAAGTCTTGTGAGAGAAAATGAACAAGTTTTCGTGACGTCAGTGTAGCTCAGTGATAGAGCATCAGAACCATGGTCGCAGGATTGTTGGTTCAAATTTGGCCTGATCGTACTCGCCTTCTGTCTTCTCAAGGAAGAGAATAAATAAGTTTCACTGTGTGTGAAGGAAGTAAATAGCTACACGCTGCAGAGAACTCCAAGCTATGGACATTGCCTTAAGAAATCACACTCTTGATTGATGGCGATTTTTGACGGAGATCAGCGCTGAATTTACAACTTCGCGAGAGGAAAAATGTCTTAAATCATTAGTTATACAGGAAACCGATATCAGCACCTACAAAACTATAGGTTGATCGTACTACTACGCCGAATTTCATAGGTCTTCTTACGGTGGTGGAGTAAATTGTATTATTTGCTCCTCGTTTTTTGAAATCAGTCTGGCTTCCAGATTCAGATTTTCGTCAGTTTAGATGAAAAGTAGATATCATGAAGAGAATTGCATGCCTGAAATAGCTTTCGTGTTTTTATTAACTCGAATATTATTGGTCAGTGATATGTCTGTGCATTACTATTTTATTTTTATATTTTTTTGCGTTTAAGGGAAAGATAAAATTGAAGACGACAGTCACCTCACTAGCAAGTCGCCTGCCATTTCTACACCTCATAAGTAAGAGTTTAGTAGTCTTTGGGTTATATGTGAAGTTCCGGTTTCGATGCCTACAGTTTCTGTGCCCATTCGTGAATTTCTTTTCCTTTTAGCATATATGATGATGTAGGTGATT